TTTAGGTCTCAAAAAAATACAATACATTTTTTTTCGGTCTAATAGAACATTTATTAACCATTTAAAACCTTTTTCCAAAAAGGGTCAACTAGCCTATTGTATGACTGGTGTGCGGCCCGCCTACTGGCACGATTACACTTGCTCGTTAGTTCGAGTGCCAACGGAATTCCGGAAAACGACTAACTGTTAATGAACGGATTTCAGTACCCCTGTATTCGGGTAGATTTCCTTTTGTTTACCGACACCGTCTTCCAGTGTAAATATTGCTTCGGGCGCCCGAATTCAGACAACTACCAGATGTAATTGCGGCATAAGTAGTTAAAGTAATACAATCGATCAGTAATAGGCGCAGCGCACATCAGGAGAAGCTAGGCTTGTTGAAAATATATCGATGTATGTATTTTTTGTTCGATATATCGATATTTTTTACCGATATATTTTGATTCGATATATCGATACATCGATACAAAATAACCAATATCGAAATTCGTATCAAAAACGATATTTTTTTAATTATTAGCGGCATATCACGATCTAACTTAATTCGTATCTGGAAAAATCGTAACTGGATCTCAGATTAATGATATTCAACATATCTATGATCTGTGCTGTATTTAGTATTGTCTATTATTTGTAAATCTGTTTCGCTGGTGAATTGGTTGTGCTGACTTCCATTATATTCTGTGGAAGTGTGTGACTGTCTAGTCTTGTTTTCGAAAGATGGCACCTGAGAGGCCCTGCAATCATTTTCATCATCCGAAAATAGGGTCTATTTTTAGGGAGATAATTTTCGTTCCATTATTATTCCGCGTATCATAATTCGTGAGATACTGTACTGTCATGTAGTGTAGCGGCAATTTGGTACTTTGATAATTCTTTTTTTAATTATAATTTGTACTGAACTATTATTACTGTGCTAGGCTGACCTAAATATATTTTTGGGAAAATTGGTCCGATATACCGATATATCGATGTTTTTTTCGCGATATATCGAAGCCGATATTGATATTTTTTAAAATATCGATGTATCGATATATCGATATTTTTTTCAACTTTCGACATCCCTAGGAGAAGCGCGACGAAGATAGTACGCGTGGCCACTCAGAGCGCGTCTAAGAGCCACGGAGCGGTGTGCGGCGAATTTGAACGGGGCCTAGAGCCACTGAGCGAAGTAGTGCTGTGCACCACTTGTACATTATTCCATGTTTGCTATCAAAAATTTAAACTTATGCTATAGGTAAGAGGGTTTTTCTTAAAATGTTAATCCTCAGCAATGAGGGTTTAACTTAAATTGTATACCTCGCTGCGCTTTTCTGGTGTGGGCTGCGGCTTAAGACGGCCAAACGCTATTTTGGGTCAGTAGGTCGCGAAGCGTGTTAGCGTGCTGATTTGTATGTTTATAGGTACTTAAGAACCGTCGAACGCCGTCGATTAATGCGTCTTGACTTGCCCATAACCTCTGAAGGAGTATCTTAGACATAGTGACGCTCCTTGTAGTGTGATCTAAGCTTTGAATGTTTTTTGAACTGTGTTTACCTTGAAGATCAATTTTCTGTCGTACCTAACAGTTAATCAGAAGATTTCTCGTAAAATTAGTTTAGGTAAAGTCTTCAATCTTGTTATCACCGGGTTGCTGTTCAGTTGAATATAATGACCTTATAGGTCGCACTCAAATATGTCTTAATTTAACGCTTCTAAAAGTGAGGTGTTCAGAATAATACATTATTCTGTTGCTATCGCAAACAAAGAGACAACATTAACTTAAACGACTTCTCTGCGTACGGTCCTAAGTTATTCCTTTATGCTAGAACTTTTCCCTCATTCAAATCAATCATTCAATAAAACACTTTTTAACAGGAAATTCAGTGTGATTTTACATTATTCTCAACATTTCCAATTAACTTCAGGCTCCTTGACTATTCTTGTGTTTATTTAAGAGGTTCTTTATTAAAATAATTGTATATATTATGTTCATTTAAACAACAGCATCGTATGACCATAGCAGCGGAATGTTATTAATAAATTTCTGTCGTAAGTGTAGCCATAGCCATTGTATAGTGTCACCATAATTTCACTTAATAACTTTGTAGTTGAAGAATGCTCTCTATTTCGCAGTAGTTAAAGTACTTCGATACTTACACAACTATACTTCCGGACACACCTATCGGCCCACTTTAGTGTTTTAAGTTTCAACGGTCTGTAGCAAAAATATATGTTTATCGTTGAGCAATAATTTTAAATTACACCAAAAGATAGGTATATAATTCAACGTTAAAACTGCGCAGGTAATATACTCATACTTTTTTCTCAATGTAACATTTATTTTTAGCAAGGGACCGTCAAAACTTCTAATGCTAGGTGGGCCAATAGATGTGTCCGGAAGTGTATAAATTGGTATTGCAGATTCCCCTAACATTTATGTGGCCAATATGAACACGTCTAAAGGTAATGTTTTCAAAATATTCGTACGTCGTTCATTCTTCTCACTAATAATGTAAGACTGTAGCATTATCCACACTACATTAGTTACTAAATTAATAATACCTAACTATAAAGTCGACTAAAAACCGCCCGTTCCCTCTAAAAAAACAGCCGACTGTTGTTATATTTAAAACCAATGTAATAACTGCACTTTACATGGCTATTCGTAGTTGCAATTTGTAACCTTGAAAACAGTCTCTCCTTTTCATTCCTTTATGATAAGGACAACATGATGTCAAAATGACAAATAACAAATACGAATAGCCATAGTGATAGAGTTGAAGATGTTGACTGACAATCTTAGTTCTGATAATAACAGGCTGATCTAAACAATTGAAAGAAATTGTACGCACAAGCGTCACTACAAAAAGGTATAAAGTGTCTCACAGACAGAGGCCGCGTCCAACCGTAGAGGTATAGCATAGAGTAGGGGAGATATAGACTCTACTTCAAGTGGAAGTGTTCCTATAATAGAAGGAGAAAGATGAGACACCGCTAGCTTTCTCTCTCTAATCGCGCATGCGCATTGGCAACCGTTAGCATCTTACTATTTAGATGTGATGCTTGGACCAACTATTGGACAGACGACTCCGCATGCGTCACAAGAGAGAGAGAGATAGCTAGCAGACCGCTAGCTATCTCTGTCACATCTTCTTTCTCTTTATACTACACAGCCACTTTTGTAGAGCCGTCTTCCCCACTCTATTCTTATGCGTCCAACCCCTATTGATCGCTCGTGTTTGAACACTGGCTAACATTGCAAGCAAATACAACTGACCGCCAGCCCGGCCCAGAAGGCCTATTCGCTAACAGCTTTTGAAAGATGGAAGTGTGAATCACAGAGCTATTTAGTGATCCACTACTGCTTTATTATAATGCCACTCAATACTTGTTCTGAAAGCATCGATGGATATACAATTACACACTGTAAATGTCAAAAAAGTAAGCAAACAGGCCGGCTGGCCGAGTCTGTCTCTGAGACACTTATCAGAAGCGTGATTTCTGTAAAAAATAAATGAACTAACGCAATGTAGGTATAATATTGTTGGAATTACATAAAATATATTCAACCTAAAAAAAGAGAGTTATAGCATGTAATTAACTATATAAAATTACGTACGTTTTTTTTTCACTACTGGATGTCAACAAGACGGTAAATTACAATTTCGTTGATAAAAAACGAGCGGTTTGCGGTACAACATGAACCTATATAATATTTTATGGATGAGACAATTTGAAAAGACTACCTATTCCGTAAAGAGAGATTCAAAATCTATCTAAATATACGCTTCAAATATCGATTAAAGGCAAGATAATATTTGTTAAAAGCCTACCTAACTAGGGGGGGTCACCCGGCTCAATGCAACAGCGAAATGTTTTAATTGCTTATTAAATATTGTACTTTATCTCCTTTGCATAAGACCGTAAATAGAATACACGACCAACTTCCATGGACTTTTGTTTACTATTCGAACTGAATAAGACAAAAATTTAATTATGATTACAATCTATTAAAGGCAATTTGGGAGCTGCGTCATTTTCACCCTGCTTAGCGGCCAATTTCCACGAGATGGTTTTTCGTTGGCGCTAAGCCCGGCGTGAAACCTGTGGGCGTACCGCCTATCGGTACGTCAGGCGGATTGCTATGGCTATAGCTTATGATTCCATTTTCTTTTTTTTTTCTAAAGCACTGGTAATAACATTATTAAAGAAAATGAGCGTGAGGTATTTGAAAACCTACTGCTGCCAGAAATAACAAAATTAAATCATAAGCTTTAGCTATAACCATAGCACTACCGATAGGCGGTAGGTAGGACCCCGTGTCTACGACCAGTCGTCAGTCTTGTTTGAGACATTATGATGCCAATCACTTCTACACTGACGCTAGCTACGGTTTTGAGTACCGTCTCCAATATAATGAACGATCTTCATAGAGAATAATCAACATTAATTATTAATCACAACGTAGAATTCAACTATATTCAACGATAAATGTAGCTATTTCTTTATGGAATTATAACGTTTTATTTTCCACATAGCGATTGTAAATGTAACTGTAACCTATCGTTGGCGACGAAGAGCAAACACAGTGTACTTAAATAAAACCAGTTAATTACGGGTGAATGCACGAAACTTTATTTATTAAACGTCAATAAATAAATAAAGTTTCGTTCATTAACCCGTAATAAACTGGTTTTATTAAATGAGTGATGTGCGTGAAAACCTAAGAAACAAACAGTGTACTTATAAAAATATTTTAAATTAGTAAAGTCAAAAAGAAATGTTTAAAATATTTGTCAAATAAAACTTTCAAAGATCTATAAAGAAATTAAAATAACCAAAAAAATAAAAACTATTTTTAACCATTTTGTATGTTTACTTAATGTTTCAATTTAAAAACATTTGCTTTGATAAATCATTTACACATGAAATTGATCATATTTCTGGAATAAATTTTAAAAGGTTATTCCAGAACCTACGCAAACATTTTCACTATGAAACAATGTAACATTAAAACAGTCGACTTCAGGTATGAAATCGGGTTTGCGAACTTTGATACAAACTCATATCACAATTCACATTACCAACTGAGGGCTCCTTAAAACTCTCGAAAACACAATAAACCATAAAACAATAAGTTTATTCGAAACAAAATAAAAATAAGAGACACCAAAGGATAAATACGCCAAAAAATAATAAATAAAGAAAATAAAAGCAGTAAAAAAAATTACATAATTTATTTTAATCACAGAATTATTCCACGCGCGCCGCCGCTAATCGCCGCGCCGCGCGAGACATGTCGAATAATAATATTCCATAATACACTTTCAGTACAGTCGAATTTCCACAATTCCAACAGAGTTTACACCATACATTCGTTCATCACAAATGAACGAATACAACGTCACAATAGTAATACGAATTATTAAAAATAATAAATTAACAGCACGGCCACGCGGTCATGTGTGTGGAGAGAACTGGAATAGAATCACGAATAAATAATAGCGCTTAACACGAGAGCTATGTACAACGATCAAAATGCAAATGCTAATATGCTTAATTAGATAGAATGTGATGCATCCGACATCCGGTGCGGTTATTTGGGGGTAGGATCACGTCATATTGACGCCGAGGGACCGGCTGGCGTACTCGTAGACTACGTAAGAGATAGACACTGCTGGGATCACCTTGATGAAGTTCGGCGTGATGCCGCGGTATAGGCCACGTAGGCCCTCGCGCTGAACTATCTCGCGGAATACGCCGCGCATAGTGCCTTCTGCGACTTTGGCCGCTTTTTCTGCAAAGACGAGAAAGCGTTCAGCACCATCACACACAACAAGCAATGATCGCAGAAACAGACTTTTGAAATGTGAAGCCACCCGACGTCACGCCACGCGTTATTTCTATGATTAGTGCGTGCGTATCGCGTCGCGTCGGATGTTCCTTATATAATTAGTCTGTCAATAATTCTTAGTATGGCCCTTGATCAAGCTATTTTCATTCACTTTAAACTATTTTCACCAAAACACAGACATCAGAACCATAGCTAAAAAGAAAGAGTTAAATTATAGGATACAAAAAATTAAATTACCTTGCGCTTGCAGCCTCGTTCTGACGAGCGCCAAAGGATAGGAGCAGACTTGCCCAAGAGTGCAGGATGCGCTGCCACAAGCCAACAGAAGCAGCATTCCCGGCTGCTCATTATTCGCCTGATATTTGCTAATGTACTTCTTCTTCAAAGTCTCGTACACGGCCAAATCTATTCCCGCGTACGGCACTATCCCCAAAATGTTTGGAATGTATCCCTTGTAGAAGCATTTGAGACCTTCGCGCACGTATATCTTCCTTGCTGCATCCATAATACCGCTGTACTGCCCAGTTTTCCTTAAAGCTAATCTTGTCTTTAGCACCTCCAGTGGGTAGATCACAGTTTGGCTGATTGCGCCGGCGGTAGCGCCTGCGAGAAACCGCTCGTGTATCTCTAAGGGCTGATTCTTCCTCTCCCCTTTGATCAGCCTCTTCACTTGCTCGTAAGCGGCGAACTTCAAGGCGGACTCGGGCGCAATTTTAATCACGTTTATGCCGTTCCCCCTCCATAAGCCGGTTATACCGCCTTCGCTAATCATTTTCGCTAAGCATTTGCTCATGTTCTCTCTGGTTGGATTTACCTGGAAGAATCAATTTCATGTGTAAGTTAATTCACGAAAAGAAAAGATAATCACGTGAGGGAAAGAGAGGATATTTTCACGTAACTTTATTTTATATTTACATTTAGGTATGTACTGCCTGGTAACGCATGCATCACTATTCCACTACGTGTCAATTGGCCAATCTATCAAATGTTGAATTCAGTATTGTTGTTTACTTTCTTCAAGTTAATGCAAATCGTATGGTTACATCAAACGAAAAATATGCATGAACGTTTTCTAATCAAATTGTTTAACATTAAAATATTCTTATAAAAATCGCATGCATAGTTATATGCACATAATTAACTGAACGTCACTCTTTGCACTAGAAGGTAGGAGTCTAGAACATTCCTTGTATAGATAGAAACAATGCATTAAGAAATAACCCGTTGAATATAGATAAAGAGTTTTCAAGAATTATTGCAATCTTCATAACTTCAGTATCAATAGTTTTTGTAAGAGGACGCAATTAAGAAAATTTAAAACGAAGACTTGATTTGAGATTAATACAAGCTAGGTAAATTAACCTTTTTTCTATCTTGAATCGTTAAATGATCAACTATTGACAACTTATCAGCATTCATTCGATTCAAAAAACGTTATAACTGGGATAGTCTCTATAAAAAAATGCCTTTTCACTATTTGTTACTTAGTCGTACCTGCAGGAACACTTTGAGCCTATCAAGCGGGGCCGTGCACGTCCTACTGAATGCACCAGCGATGCCTCCCGCCAGCAGATGTCGCCACCACTTGCCAGTTTGTAACTCGCTCTGTGTGAAGTCATCTGGCACATTCATATCCTCGCCAATGTCGAGGTACTGCGGAAAAAGAGAGAAACTTATGAGTACAACATGCATCATCCCTACCAACCAGCCTATTGCCCCCCACTGCAGGGGCACAGGTCTTCGCTATAGATGAGACTAAACATACAACGTGTAAAAATCACCATATATTTGTAGCCAATATGGTATTAAGTTTGGAAGAGTTATGGAAGAGCGAGAGGCCCTGACATAGGCAAATAAACTTGCCTACTAGGGGTTCTCAAATATTATATCACTAGCATAATATTGGTTATAGAAATAAAGTATTTTCGTTTTTTTTTAGATGGAACGGAGAGATGACCCATCTCGCGGACCCAGTGCGGATTGGTTAATGACAGCAGATTTAGCCGGGACAAACTGATTAACACGTCTTCTTAAGCACGGCGGAGCTCGAGTTAATACATTTTACGTCACCCATCCGACGATGGCCATTGCGAGAGTTGCTTAACTGTAGAGTTACGAGTAGTAGTATCGCAGACCGAAAACGCACGCAACCTAACCACTTGCACCATCGAGTTCCTCATTTCATCATCACCACCAGCCTATTACATGTGCCGTCTTTTGATGCACTAACCTTGCCCATGAACAGATTATTCTCTCTATTTTAGACGCAGGTGTCCTTTATTATGAAGTTCTTGTGTTCCTATGGGGAGTGAGATCGCCAAAGGGTTCAAGTCACCAAGGTGAGATTGCGTTACGTATCTTCGCAATATTATTTAATTCAATGTTATATTGGGTGGTGGCCGCTTTAAAAAAGCAGTGAGTTTTGTTCGTAGCCCATCTTCTACAAAAACGCGCGTTCACGCAATCCATCACTTTTCAAGAAATGAAATATGAGCAATTCTTGTTCGGAACCATTGTTTAACCTTAACGTTTCCACCAAGAAATAAGTCGTAAACTAGTTTTAAACAAAACTTGTAGAATACTATAATTGTGGCTATTTTAAACATTCTTTCGTTAACACTGCATAGACAACTAGTATCTGACAAGTATAAATCACTTATTTACTTAACATATTTCGTTTATTCAACTAGTTTGATACAAGTATTGTTTACTACATGTTTTATAAATGTATATGTGTGAACAAAAAAATTAAGACGTATGATTTTTTTAAAAACATGTATTATATCTTTAGACCAGGGTCGATAATTTTTGAGACCAAAAAAAATTATAGTAGGATGAAACCCATTAGAAAAGGTAGAGAATATAACAAAAATGAAAGGAAAAATAAATTACGGGCGATCTGAGGTCGGGAATGGGGAGGGGATGAGTTTTTAAAGGTAAAAAATGGTTAATCTCGATTTCCGGTAAAACTGCAAGTCCTATGAAAAAAAGTTAAATGGCAAAGTTGTAGGTAATAAAAAGATCTACAACTTTTGTATCGACACTTTTTTCACATAACCTCAAAATTTATGCGAAAAATGCGAATAACCGAGTTTTTTTTTTTTTTTTTGAGTTTTTGGTTTTTATTTTTGCAAAAAAAAAAAATTATTCACGAAATTTGGTGAAAACTTACCTTTGTATGTCCCAAACATACAGTAATTTTTTTGATTTAAAATATTCATTTTTTCACCTTATTTTGACTTAATATCGGAAAAGCACCCTTATTTTCAATCGAAAATTCTCACGTCAAAATATCTGCTTTTTTAAAAAAGTTGGGGTGTTTTTTGTTTGTTGAAATCTCTACTTTCTGATGTTATAAAAATAATATACACTACTATGGTAAATGTTCTCAGAAACTGCAAATTAATAATTAAAAACAACTCCAATCCAAAAAATTGATTTGAATCACTATGTATAATTTTGAACTATTTATTAAAATTTACACTTTAATTACTCGAAAAACGTAAGATTTCATGTTATTTTGATAAACAGAAAAATTACAAATCCATAAAACATGCAAAAGTAGTTGTTGTAAGTAGGTATTAAAAATAGGATTTTCGGATTCGAGTTTTTTTCATTATTAATTTGCATTTTCTGAGAACATTTATCATAGTAGTGTATATTTTTTTTATACCATCAGAAAGTAGAGATTTCAACAAACAAAAAACACCCCAACTTTTTTAAAAAAGCAGATATTTTGACGTGAGAATTTTCGATTGAAAATAAGGGTGCATTTCCGATATTAAGTCAAAATAAGGTGAAAAAATGAATATTTTAAATCAAAATAATTACTGTATGTTTGGGACATACAAAGGTAAGTTTTCACCAAATTTCGTGAAATTATATATTTTTTTGCAAAAAATAAAAATCAAAAGCAAAAAACTCGGTTACTCGCATTTTTCACATAAATTTTGAGGTTATGTGAAAAAAGTGTCGATACAAAAGTTGTAGATCTTTTTATTACCTACAACTTTGCCATTTAACTTTTTTTCATAGGACTTGCAGTTTTACCGGAAATCGAGATTAACCATTTTTTACTCTTAAAAACTCACCCCCTCCCCCTTCCCGACCTCAGATCGCCCGTAATTTATTTTTCCTTTCATTTTTGTTGTATTCTCTACCTTTTCTAATGGGTTCTCATCCTACTATAATTTTTTTTCACTTTTCACCATTTTTAAAATTATCGACCCTGGTCTACTTGGTGTAAATGCGAGGTTAGGGGTGAATCGATACTTAAAATAATTAAAATAAAACTGAATAAACAGCAACTGCTACAGTCAATCCAAAATACAATATGAATGATGCTTCAATAGCTTTCTAGTTAATGAAAAAAAAAATGTGTAGGTACGTGTATTCGATCTAGCTTGTAAAACGCTTTATGTGTACCTACTAATACAAATTATTATCAATAAACTCTTAGAAAACCAAACGAAAAATTCGAGTAAATGAATGAGCACAATCAAGCAGATAGATGATCATAATGAATAAATTCAATAAAAGTTACGGTATTACACATGTTCACGGATGTCCTCTTCAGAAGTTCTGACTCCGGTTAGAGCTTTCTTTCTTTTTATTTTTGCTGTCCATATTTTTATTTTGAAGGGAAGATGATCGGCCTGATAATTAAAACGGGTTATAAGTTTAATTTTGTTTATTATTATAGTACTATTTTAGTAGATACGCGTTAAAATACCTAACCTACAAAGTACCTATGAAAGTTTGTCTACTTTCACAGCAGCAAGGTTTATATCTTTGATAATCAAAGGTTTAAATATTACTCGACTGTCCCTTTGAACAATTTTGCTAAGGAATGCAATTTATATCTCATCTTTAATACTATAATTACCGCTGAATCCTTAAAATGGCAAAGCATCTTGTTCCAATCCAAGCTCAGAGTAACGAAGGCGACATAGAATTTCCAATACATCCTATTTGTCTTGATAAGGCCTGTATGCACGAGTAATTTCAATTTCAACATGGACAGTGCCGCTTTAATCATTTAATTGAAATAATAAAGCGGCACTTAGCTATAAAAATGTATGTAAAGTTGGTCGGTCATTTTTGACAAAGACGTCGTTTCGATGACATTGTAGTTAAACTTTTTATTGCGGCGCTAATTTGTCTGTTGCTACTCTATGATTCGATTACATTCTCTTTATGTGTCTGTTGCTAAGCGCGCTACGTGAACACGATTATTCTGTCTGATGATGCTAATGGCACGTGTATGTATAAACCATGACGAAACTGTCACGAGGTATTTAACTGCAAACAAATGTAAGTAATAAAATTTGTAACACACTCATATTGTGTGATAGCAAGTCATACGAATGCAAAATAGAAATATAAAATACTAAACATACAGAACAAAGTAAGGGTTAATCCCATCTGCAATTTGGACCGAGTAAAATTTTCTTTAATTTAATTAATATTGGAATTGGAACATTCTACAACAAGATTATGATGTACATTGCCAAAAGAACATTTTCATGCTATATAAGTTAACTTATTACCGCTTTCCAAAATTTTAATAAAAACCCTCATCATCTCTAAGTATAAGGTCAAAGTGTCACTATTGAGAAAATATTATAAATTTTGTTCTTTAAATCTTTAGTTCGTTGAAAGTTCACTAATGCATTTAATTTCTTTTTTAATCCCTTCACCACCAGTAACGGGCTCTCTTAAAAGCAGGGGGTTTTCACAATTCAACAATAGTCTCTTTAGTCAACAATTCCAGCTCCTCAATAGCTTACCAATAATGAAGGCCTAAAACAGAACGAAAACTATTCACCATCAACCTGTTATTTTATTTATTTCTCATTATCTGCCACAGTTCGAAATATATTTCCAAGTTTTGCCAAATAATTCTACGTCATGTATAATGTTAATAACGAAAGCTATGTTTAAAAGTGTGTGGATGGAAACCCTATCACTCAACGGAATTACCAGGATGCAACCGAGGTCGCGCGACAGTCGCTTGCATATTAACTGATTCATAGTTTATCCTTTCACTGATGAAACAAGGCAGTATCTAGGGGGCTACTCTGAAGGTCATTTCGTCACGTTGTTGTTACGAGTCAAACAGAAATGAACTAACTTTTTGTAAATTTTCTATAACTTTAAGTTTGTATTATAAATGCTTGGGTAGAACTATAAAATGGACCTATAGGATTGTTGCTTTGGAATTTATTCAGCGCTTGAATTGAAATGTCCGCCTGAGAATTTTTTGTCCACCTTACAGAAGACTGCAGTTAAACACACTAATCTTTTAGCCTTTCCTGATTACAGGTTCTAAAAATGTTAGCTTGAGTTCTCACGGGGTAGAGAATTGTGTTCTGGCTGGCAGGGTGTGGACGACGGACCGTTGTGCGGCATCTACACAACGTACTCACTTTACTCGGAGTTCAAAGAAACGAGTTAGTAGAGCGCTTTCTTTATCATACAATAGCACATAATAAACGAGCTAAAAACTGCATCACACGAGGAAGGGGGCTCTCATTGATTATAGTGACGACAACAATAAAATCCAGCCTATGACAGTAAAACATCAAGGGAGATTGAGTCATTTGATAGAGTTCCATTTTGAACGACGGCCTTTCGCAGTTTCAGTGTAGGTT